GGGAAAGAATAACATAGGTTTCAAAAGAAAAACCACCACCACCAAAAAAACGCCAAACAAACTAGTGCTCACCTTTGTTCTTAATCTACCAACTTCATTGACCATTTCAGAATACCTGTTCTTCACTTCTCCCTGCAAATTAAGCTGGGACTCTCTCTCTCTCTCCTCATACACCCTGAGTTTCTTCATAGCTCTGTTCAGAAGCCTCTTCAACCTGCACAGCAAGTTAGTCAAACAATGAAGCAAAGGAACAACCAGCCTTTTTCACATACTCCTATGTAAACAGCGGAGACATAGCTCACTTCATCTTTAACGTGCTTGACACACCAGAAATTACTGAGAAAAATCAGCATTCCTGTGCCACAAATTGCTTGGAGGGTCCAAATTTCACGTGAAAAGAGGAGTAAGAGACTTCCTTCCCTCCCAGGAAAACCACAGGGCAACCTGCATTTGCAGTTCTTTTGTCAGCTATTCAAAACTACAGGCACATGTACAGAAGTGCCTTGCAAGAGCTAACACGAGGCTTGAATTTGCTCACAAACAGTTACATACACCTATTTTTATGTAGGAGTTTAATAACGCTTGACTTCTACTCAGGGGTACCTGTTCACTATACTAAAAAGCCATACCTCTTACAGTCTTTCTGCAGTTCAATGTTTCTTTTCATTTCTTGGTCCAGACGCAGTTCAACTGGGCGTTTCAACTCTACCAGCTTCTTCACTTTCTTTCTTTCACTTTCACACTTTGAAAACAGAAAAGATACATGACACACAGAGCATAGGAACAGTATCTACATGGATTATGTGCATCTAGCATTCTCCACAGAGAAGCTGCAGTACATCTCTATCTGTTAGTGAAGTTCCACAGAACACCAAGGGACAGAATTCCTGAGAACATTTAATCACTTCAGGTTTTACATTAAACAGGCCAATACCTAACAACAGAAACAGATGCCCCCACTGAAGCAAAGATCACCCTCTTCTAACACTTCAAGGCAAAAAGGAGGAAAAGATGCTAGAGAACACTTTCGGCAGTTCCTCTGCTCATAGCAGGGACTACATAGGTATGCACATCACACAGGAACATAGGTCAATCTAAAGCTTTCACGGGATCTTCAATGATCAGCAGGCAGGGGCTTGCAGAGGAATTTGATCTTTTGGAATTCTTTAGTGTTTTATTCCCCTCTGCCATTACCTGCATCTCTTCTTTGTGGGTATTTACTTATTCACATGCTGTTCTTCCTCTTGGTGTTTTCTCAGCCAAACCAGAGGAGAGCAGGCAGCTGTTGACTTTGTACTTCCATTTTTCCTCTATGGAAAAGGAAAAAAGGGGAAGACTGCCCCTTGGAAACTGGCAGTCATTTCTTGTTTCCCAAGCACTAGTTCATTTGGCCAGAATTCCTTCAGTACATTTTTCTGCAAGGCTTTTAAGCTCCCACTACCCTGAAAACATGCAGCAGCTCCTCCATACATTGCACTGGAAACATGAAGCATTTTAGCCCTGCCCAGAAACCACAGGGTCAGAAGACAACCAGAAGGAATCCAGGGAAAGAACTGGGGAACTGCCGCCTTGCTCCATGTGTTCAACTGATAGCAAACCACACTTGGAACTGTTCCTAATAGAACCACTCCAGAATTTAAACAAAGATAGCCAGATAGCTTTTATTTGCTTCCTGGATGATCCCCAAGTCACAAGATACTCAGCGCCTGAAGAGCAGGGGTAACAGAAAAAGCCGAGTATGTAAGAACTCGACAAAAAGGTGAACACGGTTCTCCTGGGTATTGGCTAGGTGCCTGGAGAATTTTCTAGGCTCACCTGTTCCAAGAGTTCAGCCTTTTCCCTGTCAAGCTGAGCAACACGCTCTTCAAGGTGGGATCTTGACTTCAGTTCCTCCTCCCACATGCTGCGCAAGTCCTTTGATGTCAGAGCCAGCACATTCTGCTTTTGCATCTGTGAAAGCAACAGTGGCAAAAGAAAAAACTGAAGTGACCGGAAAGACAACACTGCAATAGAAAGCAGCAACTTAAATGGAAACAGGCCTAAGCTCTCCTCTCCCCATCCAAGACCTACCGTTAAGGCTAATGTGGAGTATGAAACACACCTCAGGAAACATAACCAAGAACAGGAGTTGAAGCTGGTGGAAATAATGAACAGTCTGGAAGTGACAAGAAGAGGCTGAAACTTTGGGGGGTAAGATAACACACAGAGGCATGCCAAAATAATCCTAAAACTTTCTTCCAAAGGTCCGCCCGAATTCATAATGATACATACTTTATAATAGAATAATTCTTCCAGTGCTCCCCCTGCCCCTGAAAATACCCTACCCTCACTGCTTCTTTAAAAACTGTACATCTCCTGAGAGCAAGAAAATGTTTTCAAATCAGCAGTGCTATTTATGCTTCTGCCCAAAAGGACAAAGATTTGCCTAATAGATGCATCTGAGTGGAAAAGAACTTGCTGATTCAGTTCAAGTATAAAGAATGCAAGCTGACTAGATGCTTTTAGTGACATTTGGTAAGGGAAAAAAAAAATTATGCCTACTGATCTACAGAAAGTCATGAAAACCTCAGCACAAAGTCTTCGATAAAAAATCCTCAGGGTGTACAACTGTCTCAAGTGTCCTTACAGAGCAGGTGAAATGCTGGGTCTTATGACAGAAGCTAACATGGTCTCAAGCACAAGCTCTGACAAAACTGCAAAGGTAACACAGGTCTCCCAAGTCCAGTCTCTTCTCTCAGCTTTCAACCATGCATCTCCCTCCTGCCCACAACATCCATCCTATCCACCATCTGCCATGGTTTAACTCCAGTAGGCAGCTAAGCAGCACACAGCCACTTGCTCACTCCCCCCTGGTGGGATGAGGGAGAGAATTCAAATGAATCATGCTGATGAACACAAGTATCTTGCACACCACCATACAGATACAAAACACAGCAGCAGGGGGATGAGGGAATTTACAGCCTTTTCCCTTGAGGATGCCTTGCCCTAAAACCAGAAGGGTATTTGTCAGCTGAGCTGTGCCTACACAGCCCACCTGATCTTTTCAATTACCTGCACACAAAAAAAAAATAAAAGACTAAAACAGTCATTCACAGAAGCCAGTCATGCACCTGCTGATGGTGGTGGTCCTCTGCAGCTGCCTGTGTTGTCTGTAAACCAGTTATCAAGTCTTCCAGGCGGTTATGAACCTACAGAAGCATTAGAAGAAGCAAAAGACACACTATGATTTTCCAGACTGAAGTTTACACCTCATTACCAAAAATAAACATTACATACACTCCTTCATTCCTATAGTATTTACACCCAGCACCAATGATCAGAACGGCCTTAGTCTGATGCCACTGTAAAACTGTTAGCAATCATTGCCTCTGCTGTTTGCTTCAGAGAGAGAGAACACCATGTATGATACAAAAAAATCTTCAACGAAACAGGCAGAAGTAGCTGTTCATATCCACAGTACATTGGAAAACCATGCCCTATTAACCAAGGGGGAAGGACCAGCATCATGGCTGCCTTCCCTCTTCTCTTGTCAATATCAGTACAAAGTGTAACTTTCACATATAGTTATTTTCAAAATCTCCTCAGCATGAATTAACAACTGCAGTCGTAACAAGAACCCTAGTTCACTAGTTACAATATAAAAATAATTTGCTTCATAGAGGCCACAGATGAAAGCACCTTATCTGAGCTAAAACTAACCACTGCATAGGGACATTGGAAATTCCAAGGCTGGCACTGAGTTCTGCAAATGATACCACAGGCATTCCTCTTCATTGTTTCATGAAAACAAACACACACCAAGCAGCCAAAACCAAAAGCACATCTGCACAGCAAAAGCTCTGGGGAGTATAATTTTTGTTCCAGTCTGATGATGCCAGTCAGGCCTCTGGCATGAAGCACTTGGCATCAATATTCTCTGTGGAATTTCCATGAGTTAACTTTATGAATACCTTTAATGATACACATTGCAACAAGTGTCTGAAGCAGCATCTGGTGTCATGATGGGTGTAAAGCAGGAAATAGTTACACCAGTGTATTTGTGTCAAATCCTTGCCTTTTAGAGCATTAAGTAGGACTTGCT